ATGCCCCAGATTCAATCCCCAACATCTACAGGTAGGGCTGGCAATGTTCTCTGTCTGAAATTCTGGAGTGCTGCTGCTACTAAGTGTTAACAGTATTGAGCTAGAAGGAGCAATGGTCTGGCTCAGTATAAAGCAGCTCCCTGTTTTCTTATGGGACCAATTAAAGGTAAAGCCCAATTCTTTTGGTCTTGTTTTTGCTGTGATGTACGGTATATAGGTTTTGGGGATGCGGGTGGCGCTGTGGGTTAAACCACAGAGCCTAGGACTTGCCGATCAGAAGGTCGGCAGTTCGAATCCCTACAATGGGGTGAGCTCCCGTTGCTCGGTCCCTGCTCCTGCCAACCTAGCAGCTCGAAAGCACGTCAAAATGCAAGTAAATTAATAGGTACCGCTCTGGCGGGAAGGTAAACGGCGTTTCCGTGCACTGCTCTGGTTCACCAGAAGCGGCTTAGTCATGCTGGCCAGATGACCTAGAAGCTGTACGCCGGCTCGCTCGGCCAATAAAGCGAGATGAGTGCCGCAACCCTAGAGTCGGCCACGGCTGGACCTAATGGTCAGGGGTCCCTTTACCTATATAGGTTTTAGGTGGTTGAAGCTGGTCCATTAGGGCAAATGGATTAATGACCCGCCAACCTCATTCTGCCTTCAGCCAATCTCCACTTGCCTGTCTTCTTGCTTATAGCCAATCAGTGGGTGGCCTCTCACTGGCTCTGGCGCCACCTGCTGTTGGTCTTCCAGTCTTCTGATCTACCACTCCAAATCAGCAGCAGCCAGTGCTGCTTTCAGGCTGAATTTTCAACTGCCTGCTGCCCTTTTTCTGTTGTATTGGATTGTTTATTTCTGTGAATTCATTGTAAGTCACTTGAGTAGCCACATTCCAAAGAATGGCCAGGAGGTGGGCAGACAGCCTATTCCAGACGGAGGAGGCTCCTGGATTCAGCCCTGTCACTGGAGACTCAGTTGGCCTCTGTAGCTAGGAGTGCCTGTTTGCAGCTACTGTTGGTTTTCCAGCTATGGCAACTTCCAGATTGGATTACTGCAATGCACTCTGTGTGGGTCTGCCCTTGAAGACGACTCAGAACGTTCAATTGGTCTGAAAAGCAGTGCCCAGATTCCTCTCACATAACCTCTGTTTTAAAACATCTGCACTGGTTGCAAGTTCATTTTCAGGCCCAATTCAAGGTGCTAACCTTTGTACTTAAAGCTCTAAATAACTTGGGTGCCAAATATCTGAAAGCTGACCTCCTTCCCTACAGACCTTGCCCCAGGTATTAAAATCAGCCCTCTTGATAGTTCTACCACCCTCAGAAACTGGGGGAAGGGGTGGGAGCCCAGGAGAGGGCCTTCTCTGTGGCAGCCCCTTGTTTGTGGAACTCCCTCCCTACAGAGATGCACCTGGTAACATCATTATACAGTTTTACCCTGGCTGTGGATGCTTGAGGTGTATATTTCTATGACCCACCCTACTTTTGAGATTGTAAGTTGCTTCGAATTCTTTCTAATGTTGCATTTTGAATTTGGACCTGCAGGAAGAAGGCTGGGTAATTATTAATAATAACAACAACTAACAGCAACAAGAAGAAACCAGTGCATGTTTCTTCATCAGCAAAGCGTAAGAAACATTGGCGATTTCATCTGGATAGGCTGCTTAGAATGGCTGGCTGGCATCTTGAAAAATATCTCTGCCATCCTGATGGGGACGCCAACTCTTACCCTGAAACTGTTGCAGCCGCCAGCTGATCCTCCGTTGGCACCAAGCCGCTTGAGATTCTATTGACATGACGTCAGGACTTGTATGTGAAGTTTCTAATGTGGCTCAAGGTAGCTCAGCCTCCAGTTCCACATGGCAAGGAAGCATTCGAGCACAACAGCCAAGCCCATTCAGTTAGGAGTGACTTCCTGGAGCGCTTTCAAAAGCTCGTTTTAACTCCTTACACTTTGGAGGGCTTTCCGACCTTGGGAATCTTAAAACACGATCGCCGTGTTCTGAACTAGTCCCCTTTTGAACTTACAAAATGTGGTCTGCTGAAAGCCAATCCATGTGATAAAAGGCAAGAGTTCTGAAATACGTCAAAAGCAAAGACAAAATGTTGAGTCTTCCCGTGGACATATTCCCAGAGAAGTAGCTGTGTGAGCAAAAACAACAGAATCTTGTGACATCTTAAAGATCAGCATTTATTATTGCATAAGCATCCAAGCCCACTTCACCAGATTCAGGAAATGATATCCTAAACTGGCATATATCAATATATCAGTTTGGTATCAACAATACTGCTTGTGAATGATCACTGCAGTTATTTTATTTTATTTAGAAAAACTTACAAGTGGGTTAATCAGGAAAAAAAATCAAAGTTTTGCCACATTAATGATCACAGTTCATATTTATTAAATATCATTTCTCTCTGACTACACTGCTTACATTTCTCGCTACAAGTTTCATTTGGGAAGGCCAACTTGGCTAACATATTCTGAATTTTGGGAGCATTAGCATTTTAAGTGATATGCGTGGCAATTTTTTTTTTTTTTAAAGACCAACAAAAGCACCTCTTCAAATGGTGAAGTGTAAAGTATAACTAAGGGAAATTAATTCTATCCCAGAGGCATCAACACCCTCTGCTTGCTGAGACCTTGCAGCAGCATGTGAGGCAGTATGCAGTGATTACAATGTAAAAATCAGTCCAGACACCCTTAAATTTCATTAAATAGCTTGTTACTTAAGAAAAAACAATTAAGTCAAAACATAAAATTAAAAGCAGGAAATGGATTAGTTAATAACTCCCAAAGGAGCGGAGGAAAAAAGAGCCACTTTGATTGCTTTAATCCTAGCCTCCCTTTAGTAGTAGCCTAGTGACACATCATTAATTATCTCTCTCCAAAATTCAGTTTTTGTATTGAGCTATTAAAATATCAAAAACAGCTATTAACAGGCAGATCAAACATCACAGAGTCCTTTTTCTGAAAGGCTTGCACAAGTAAAGGAGCTATAGAAATAGATAAACAGGTTGCTGTCATGCCAATAGGGTGTTCATTTAATCGTAAATACTTGTAGACATATTGGGATGCAGGTGGCGCTGTGCGTAAAACCTCAGCGCCTAGGACTTGCCGATCGCATGGTCGGCGGTTCGAATCCCCGCGGCGGGGTGCGCTCCCGTCGTTCGGTCCCAGCGCCTGCCAACCTAGCAGTTCGAAAGCACCCCGGGTGCAAGTAGATAAATAGGGACCGCTTACCAGCGGGAAGGTAAACGGCGTTCCGTGTGCTGCGCTGGCTCGCCAGATGCAGCTTGTCACGCTGGCCACGTGACCCGGAAGTGTCTGCGGACAGCACTGGCTCCCGGCCTATAGAGTGAGATGAGCGCACAACCCTAGAGTCTGTCAAGACTGGCCCGTACGGGCAGGGGTACCTTTACCTTTACTTGTAGACATTAAAGGTAGGGTCATGAGATAATAATAATAATAATAATAATAATAATAATAATAATAATAATAATATAATAATAATAATAATAATAATAATAATATAATAATAATAATAATAATAATAATAATAATAAATTAAAAAAATATTTTGCGGCTTCCAGCAAAATATTAAAATACAATAGTTCATCAAATATTAAAAGCTTCCCTAAACAGGGCTGACTTCAGATGTGTTCTAAAAGTAAGATAGTTGTTATTTCCTTGACATCTGGTGGGAGGGCGTTCCACAGGGCAGGTGCCACTACCGAGAAGGCTTTCTGCCTGGTTCCCTGTAACCTCACTTCTTGCAGTTAGGGAACCACCAGAAGGCCCTCAGAGCTGGACCTCAGTGTCCGGGCAAAATGATGGGGGTGGAGACGTTCCTTCAGGTATACTGGGCCGAGGCCATTTAGGGCTTTAAAGGTCAGCACCAAAACTTTGAAGTGTGCTCGGAAATGTACTGGGAGCCAATGTAGGTCTTTCAGGACCGGAGTTATGTGGTCCCGGCGGCCACTCCCAGTCACCAGTCTAGCTGCCGCATTCTGGATTAGTTGTAGTTTCCGGGTCACCTTCAAAGGTAGCCCCACGTAGAGCGCATTGCAGTAATCCAAGTGAGAGATAACTAGAGCATGCACCACTCTGGCTAGACAGTCCACGAACAGGTAGGGTCTCAGCCTGTGTACCAGATGGAGCTGGTAAACAGCTGCCCTTGACACAGAATTGACCTACGCCTCCATGGACAGCTGTGAGTCCAGAATGACTCCCAGGCTGCGCACCTGGTCCTTCAGAGGCACAGTTACTCCATTCAGGACCAGGGAGTCCTCCATACCCACTCACCCTCTGTCCCCCCAAAACAGTACTTCTGTCTTATCAGGATTCAACCTCAACCTTTATGGAAGCAGAACAGAGTTTTAACTTGTTTCATGGACAGCACAGGAAGTTGCCTTATGCCAGGTGAGATGGTTTTTGTCCATTTAGCCCAGTACTGTGTGCTTTGACTGCCCCCAGCTCTTCATGGTCTCAGCACAGGTCTTTCCCATCACTTGTCACTCAGGCTGTGTACACAGCATGGCTTCCTCCAGATGCAGGATACTCCGAAAGCTGGTGCCCGAAATCCAGGTGCATGTGACGTCAGCCACAACCCACAGGTATCCTTTCACTTCTTGAGAAATCCTCCTGTTTGCTGTACTTTCCCTCAAACCAGCTTCCATCCAGTTTGAAAATGTAAACCAGGGATAAGCTGAGATGTATGTACATTTCAAATAGCCATCGCACAGGCAACAGCGCATTTGCACAGAAAACAGCTTCAATGAATTGCAACCAAGAGACTCCAGATTTTGAACCTTTCTATATGCCAAGAATGGGCTGTGCCAATGATCTGCATTCAGTTTTATCATACAGATTGTGGAACCATAGTTGGCGTGCTCTGGTCCATGGGGTCACGAAGAGTCGGACACGACTAAACAACAACAAAGAGTTGGAAGGGAACACGAGGGTCTTGTAGTCCAACTTCTGCAGTGCTGGGATTTTAAAAAATTCTTATTTTTTGCCCAATGTGCGGCTTGACCCCATGACTCTGAGATTAAAAGTCTCATGCTCTACTGACTGAGCTATCCCAGGCCTTCTGCAAGTACTGCTCCCCTGCCTGAAAACTATATTCTGGCAATGCTCAATAACCTGAAAAGGATGATGAAATAGCTACTGTAATGCTCCCACTGAGAAAAAGGAGAGCAGTGCTTATAAATGCTTATAAATGGGGAGGGACCATTCACTACAGTGTGAGTGACCTTGGAGTGGAGTGAAGTGACCTTGGGCCACTCACAATCTCTCAGCCTAGCCTACCTCACAGGGCTGTTGGGAGGATAAAATGGAGGAAGGGAGAACTTTGTACACCAGCTAATAATAATAATAATAATAATAATAATAATAATAATAATTTATTATTTATACCCCGCCCATCTGGCTGAGTTTCCCCAGCCACTCTGGGCGGCTTCCAATCAAGTGTTAAAAACAATACAGCATTAAATATTAAAAATTTCCCTAAACAGGGCTGCCTTCAGATGTCTTTTTAAAAGAAGATAGCTGCTTATTTCCTTCACATCTGAAGGGAGGGAATTCCACAGGGTGTCTCAGTGTCCAGGCTGAATGATGGGGGTGGAGATGCTCCTTCAGGTATACAGGACTGAGGCCGTTTAGGGCTTTAAAGGTCAGCACCAACACTTTGAATTGTGCCTGGAAATGTACTGGGACCTAATGCAGATCTCTCAGGACTGGTGTTATGTGGTCCCGGCGGCCACTTCAGCTCCTTGGAGGAAAAAAGAAGTATAAATGCAATAAACAGACAAAGAAACTGTGAAATTATAGCAAAGGCAGTTTGCCTGGCTTTCATTGACCAAAACTATTCAAATACTGAAACTAGGGACTTACTGAACTAATTGGGAAAGATGTTTTTCATTAAGCAGACTAATTTTGTCCTTTTTTTTTTGCTTCCTGTGTAGCAGAAAAATATGTCCGTTTCACTGAGCTCTAGGGAGATGTTGCTAATTTTGTTTGCATACTAATTCAAGCCTGTTTATTTACTTTTAAAAATGCATTCTTGTTCTCCCTGAAGACAAAGGGCACCATCCCCTTACATCATGGTATCAGGATTAAACCTAATTGTTGCGTTGCCACCTTGTGATTTCTCACTGAAATCAGCTGCCTGCTTCCCAGTGCAAAAAGAGCTTTATTCTGTTTTTTGATAGGCGATCTCTGGGTTTTACACACTCGTTGCCCTATGGACAGATGCACACGCAATTATTAAAATGCAGATTATGACTGAATTCTTTGAGGGGAGGTGCCTTAAATGTGTTTCATAGAATTCTAGGGTTGGTAGGAACCCTGAGGTTCACAATCCGGCCCCCTGCAATGTACACAGCCTAAGTCTATTGCAAATACGTAGTGCAGTTTTGCTATTTCAGTGCACTCAATCACAGGTCATGAAAGGCTATATTAGCATTTTCAAAAATAAAAATAAATCCCCAAATGTTGACTGCAACTCATGAACACGATAAGAGTGTGAACCATCAAGGCACATCTAACTAATCCACACGAGCACGGAGACTCTCTCCATTGTATGCTTAGATGATTAATTCATTAAAAATTATCAGAAAGGCGCTGCAAGAGCTCTGTATCCCAGGTTGTTTCCAAAGTAGCACAAAGTAACTCATTCAGTCAGCAGAAGCTTGCACAACAGAACTCCCCACTCCTCTCCCTTAAATCTGTTCTGGGGTCCCCCCCCCCCAATCTTCCACAGCAAATTTGGGGTGGGTGCAGGCACACATGGGTGAGGAGTGGGGGGAGAACATTAAAGCTCAAATCTTTGGCTGACAAAATGTGCTTAGAGAAGTATGCATAGAGTTAGGCTATTTTATTCTTACAACTTGCCGACAAAGGTCCGTATTGTTAAAGCTATGGTTTCCCCAGTAGTGATGTATGGAAGTGAGAGCTGGACCATAAAGAAGGCTGATCGCCAAAGAATTGATGCTTTTGAATTATGGTGCTGGAGGAGACTCTTGAGAGTCCCATGGACTGCAAGAAGATCAAACCGATCCATTCTTAAGGAAATCAGCCCTGAGTGCTCACTGGAAGGACAGATCATGAAGCTGAGACTCCAATACTTTGGCCACCTCATGAGAAGAGAAGACCCCCTGGAAAAGACCCTGATGTTGGGAAAGATGGAGGGCACAAGAAGGGGACAACAGAGGACGAGATGGTTGGACAGTGTTCTCGAAGCTACCAACATGAGTTTGACCAAACTGCGGGAGGCAGTGGAAGACAGGAGTGCCTGGCGTGCTCTGGTACATGGGGTCATGAAGAGTCGGACATGACTAAACGACTAAATAGCAACAATTCTTACAACAACCCTGTGAGGTAGGTTAGGCTGAGAGATAGAGACTCCCGGTTACCCAGGGAGTTTCATGGCTGGGAAGACTCAAGTGTCCGTGCTCCAACACCAGCAAAGGTGTAAGGTTTTTACTTTGCTTTCCAATTTCTATGGAACTGCAATGACTAGCTTAGGACCCAAGGATTGTACGTAAGAGTAAACCTATTGAAATAAATGTGCCCAAGTTACATACATCGATTTCAATGGACTGTCTTCTGAGTAGAACTAACACTGGATACAACTCCAATCTTTCCCCTAGTGGATTGAAATGCAATCATTTTCTTTTCTTTTTGTAATATAATCAAGCAAGCTTTTGTAATTTTTTACAAGGTAACCTTGAAAGATATCTCAATTTAATGTGGCTATGAAGCCGTCAGCCTCTTGGCTGCATAGACAGATTAGAAGAAAATAAGAACAAGCCAACTGTTATTCGTATTTGAATTATTCAACAATCCTTACCCCCTTTGACTGAAAGCCTGTCTCATTGTTATACCCTCTCTTCCATTCATAAGTGTTTTACCCAGAATATACATATACGTAATCCAGTCCAAATGGAGGAAGCCCCTAGAACTACTCACCAGAAAATTCAATTAACTTTAAGGTCAGCCTGTACCTTTCTCTGTAATCAAATGATTTCAAACTCTGCACAAAGCCAGAACAGGTGTTTCATTCATGCTGTCTGTCTACCTGGCGAGGGCCCAAATATATATTTTTTCCCTTTTAAGTTTACACTGCACACTAAGCATGGGCACATGCCTGTCTCGAGGCAGCCTCAAAGACGGTTCCATTGCTGAGCCAAACACGTTCTGCTTTGTTTTCTTTGAACCCAGTGCAAACAGCTGTTTTCTAATTCTTAACTAAATAATTGTCGCCATTTACGCCACACAGCTCTTGCCAACCAGGAGATTGATGCTGGTGATAAAAGATGTCTGCAAACATGACACGGAGGCTGGCAGCATTAACTGCACTGTGTGAGAATCCCAGGAAAACTTGGAGACAATCAGTCGGGTCGTGCAACCACAGCGTACAGCTTCCAGGTCATGTGCCCAGCATGACTAAGCCGCTTCTGGCAAACCAGAGCAGTGCACGGAAACGCCGTTTACCTTCCTGCCAGAGCGGTACCTATTTATCTACTTGTACTTTGACGTGCTTTCGAACTGCTAGGTTGGCAGGAGCAGGGACCGAGCAACGGGAGCTCACCCCGTTGCGGGGATTCAAACCGCCGACCTTCTGATCGGCAAGTCCTAGGCTCTGTGGTTTAACTCACAGCGCCACCAGTACTTCTCTTATTGTTTGTTGGAGGAAGAAAGCTAGGGTACAATAAATATGCCAATAAACTAACAAGCAAATATATAGGCAGCTTGGTGGAAACTAACATTAAGACTCAAAGTTGCTGGGGGTTTAGAGGGATTTTTTGTTGTAAGTTCCCCCCCACTCTGAAACTGAAAAATAAAGGTTGTTGTTGGTGCGGTTTTTTGAACAGTTGCAATTGTTCCCCTGCCGCCTTTAACAATTACAGAGCATGGTTTGCTTTTATAAACCCAACATGGCCATGAATGAAGAGAAAGTGGTGTTTTGTAAATGAAAAGGGTTTGAGTTACACTCTGCTGCTTCTCCACCTGCGTCTCTCTCTTCCCCCTGCATGTGTTTTCCCAGATGAAATATGAACAATTGAATTTCTGAAGCCCACCAGCTGTTTCTGAAGAAAGGGGGGGGGAGCTCAATGGAATGTTTAAAAAAATGTTCAAAATGAAGACCTTTTCCCACTCAGTTTGTAGCGTATGTATTTTCTAAATCAAATGAGCAGCAAACAACACGACATCACTGCTAACTGCAATGCATTATAACCATTTACATTTCAGCTATGTTTTTCCCCAAACGGACAGGGGAGTCCTGCTCAACGCTTGGCTAACCCAAATTTTAGATTAAGGGGAGGGCTGTTTACAAAGCAATAAAGTGGCACGAAGCTACATGCGTCAAGCCAAGAATTTGCACACCTCAATAAGTATTCATCTATATATGTTCGGCTATATCCAGTGTTAGTCCTACTTAAGAGAAAAACTTTGGTCCGTTGACTTCAGCTGGAACTGCATTTTTGGAGGGTGGCTGCTGTTGTTGTTTAAATAGAAGCTGATAAGCCTGAGACCACAGAGCCCAGGGCTTGCCGATCAGAAGGTCGGCGGTTTGAATCCCCGCAACAGGGTGAGCTCCTGTTGCTCGGTCTCTGCTCCTGCCAACCTTGCAGTTCGAAAGCATGTCAAAGTGCAAGTAGATAAATAGGTACTGCTCTGGCAGGAAGGTAAACGGTGTTTCCGTGGGCTGCTCTGGTTCGCCAGAAGCGGCTTAGTCATGCTGGCCACATGACTCAGAAGCTGTCTGCGGACAAATGCCGGCTCCCTCGGCCAGTAAAGCGAGATGAGCGCCGCAACCCCAGAGTAGTCTGCGACTGGACCTAATGGTCAGGGGTCTCTCTACCTTTACCTTTACGTTTCTCTCATGTGACTGAGTCAGGCAGGGTCTGTATGTATCCCCCCAACATTGATATACATCATTAACTCATTATGATGACTTGCTGTCACACTGCACAAATTTATTTATCATGATAAGCTAAGCTCAGCAGCATAGTAAATGCTTGGATAATAATTGCACATCAATTAATTGTGCTGGGAGGGGCTAGGATGATACCAGCACTGGCGCTTACAAAGACCACACAGGAGAATTTCAGATCCCTGAGTTTTTGGTAAACTGGAATTAGTAACCATTGAGTAAGGGGGAAAGAAGGGAAACAAATTCCACTGTAATTCGCCAGAATCCAAAGTGAGTGTCAACAACATGATAATGCAGAGCATTAAGTCTGAGACAGTTCATCCTTCCCACATTGCCATCCCAGAATGTTGCAACTTGCCCAGAACTTTTGGAGATGAGTGGTGCAAGAGCTTAGCACATTGAAATCATTGTACAGTGGTACCTCGGGTTAAGTACTCAATTCGTTCCGGAGGTCCGTACTTAACCTGAAACTGTTCTTAACCTGAAGCACCACTTTAGCTAATGGTGCCTCCTGCTGCTGCTGCGCTGCCAGAGCTTGATTTCTGTTCTCATCCTGAAGCAAAGTTCTTAACCTGAAGCACTATTTATGGGTTAGCAGAATCTGTAACCTGAAGCGTATGTAACCCAAGGTACCACTGTAATTTAATTTAATACAATGGGCTGGTGGATGGGGAAGGAACTTCTGCGTGTTATGAGATGATGAAGCAAGGCTCCCATGACTTTTCTGTTATTTGCAGCGGGTACAGGGATGGGGAGCCTCAGGTCTGCAGGGAGTGGGGGCATAAAGAATGCCCAGCAGCAGCAGCAGCATGCCACTGCCTCCAGGCCACACCACATTACTCCACTGTATCCCTTTCATAGGGCTTGGTGTGCATCCTTCTCTGGTGCTTTTGCCTGGTTGGAATGTATCCTTAGCGGTGGAAGCTGGTATTCTGTAGGACTAGCAAGGCAGAAAGCAGGGAAGCCAACTGTACAGTAAGCCAAGTAGATCAAGAAATGTCCATCGCTTCCAAATGAAGACAAATCTTGCCGGCTTTGCAGATTTGCTGCCACTTTTATCTTGGAGTTTCCCAGCGATTCGGGCAAATGTTGGCAGTTCTGGATTTCCTAGTCGCATTAGTACAGCGATGGGCAGTGGGGGGTGGGAGGGGTGGGTTGTCGTCACACCAGCCCGGGAGATGAATGCAAATAACATCTGTGAAAACGCATCTGGACGCATTTTCTTTGCTTTGTTAACCACGGCAGTTATACCAACAGGTGGAGAGAGCTGTGGGCCCGCATGTCACTGAAAGCGTTATGCTCTCCATGTTTGCCCTCTCAAGTGTAAAATGCAATCCAGATTTTCAGGCAAGTCAAAATGGTTAATATACAATGAAGCCGGCAGGCAAACCTGGAGACTTCAGGTTGGCCCTGCTGAGTGTCTGGCAGCCCTAGTAAATTGTGATTGTTTTCCTTTCACCAAAATGCAAAAACTAACACTCCCTAGGTCATGACATTTGTGGGGGCATCTCAGTCGTGATGCAATATTACTACCCAAAAATATCTGCCAGCGTCCTGTTGACCAGCTTCCGAAGGTGAATGTCAACCAGCTTGCATCCACAAACATCAGCCTGCTTCCGCCATACAACATCTACTGGCTTCCAAACTCCACCATCGGCCACCAGCTTCCACTATGTCCATCACTAGACATCAGCCGGCTTGCTATCTATCATGGATATCAGCTGCCTTCAAGCCAAGATCCCCCACTCAGCACGTGAACTTGCCTTCTTATTACTCCATAGCATCCCACAGCCAGATGATTACCTCCATCCATCCACCAATTCACCTTCTCCAGGTGGAAGAAGACTGATCAATGCTGAATGTCTCAGCTGCTGCCTGCTGTGTTCTGTTGGGGAAGAGGAAAAAGCCCATCTTTGTATCCACTCAGATGCCATGTACTTTTATGATGTCATAAGTGGTCCGTAGCCACCGGCAACTGCTGGGGGTGCATCATATAACCTCCCCAGGCCTCACAATTGTTGGTGCATCTTAGCAGTTGTGATAAGAATTTTAAGGTCTTACATGTATATTAAATGTTCATAAATGTACCAACCAATCACATACATAGATCAGCACAGGAAGACCGACCTGAAACCATTTTTGATTCCCAACTGACCAAATGTTTTCTCTGCAAGGTCAAAGGAAAATGAAAAAGCCTCCCCATTGTCTTTTCCTTTACAAATCCTGTCTTAAGAGTATGTCTGTCTGTGTTTGAATAGGGTGAGCCTGTGACCTGGCTCAGGAACTAAGTATTTATCATTACAAAAGACTGGCCAGGCTCCCCAGGGTATCCAGTCAAGTGAGCATTAACAGGTAAACCTGTCAGATGAGATAAACAACACACTCAGATTTCTGCTGTAGACCGCCTTTTCTGTGATGTAGGTATGATGTTTGTGGGGGGTGGTCTTGGGTTACACCCCTTCTGCAATGTATGGAGGTGTGGTCTTGAGCTCCAGGACGGGGAAATTAAAATGTCTATATAATGGCAGGCACACCTTGGTTCTGGGTTCCTCCTCCTTTCCTGCATCTGAGGGGAGCACCCTGTTGCAACAGATCAATAAAGATCAGGTTTACTAGCTGCTTTGCTTCTTAATATTCTCTGGTTGACCTCTGCTATTTTCTCCTACCAATAGGGAACCTATGTAAGGACTCTATATGGGCTCTTGGATACCCCATAAGGGAAAAGGGCAGATTTTTGTTTATAAAACAGTGATTTATTTGTCTGCTTGTTTTATCATTAAAAACATTTAAGGACCAGCCTCCATAATCTGCACTGATACCAGGGAGGGGCACACCATAAAACTCTTGCAGGGGATTTTTCCAGCACAACGGTTGCATTCCCTTTTAGGGTTCCTGCCCTTCTACCCCAGGAGCTGCTTGCAGTGGTGTGTGAGGGTCAAAGGCCGAGGAGAGCCACCAATATGGCTCTTATCTTTGTATAGCAAGCTTCATTCCAGCTTTCAGCTAATGATAGAAGATTGCCCCTTTGGGGCATGTAGTGGGGGGGAATCATATGGAGCAGAAACTACGTTGGTCTTCTCCTGTACCTCTTTCCCCTGGAATCCTTCCCACAGGGTGGTTGATGGTAGATCTCTCAGGGGTGGGTGAAGGCCCAGCTAGATCATCCCCGGGGTGTGTGTGTCTTTGCTTGTGTCCCCCCACCCCCCAGATTCCTTCACATCCATCCTGGTTGCCCCCACAGCATACTACGGAAATATTTTTCTTGCTATGATGAAATCTAACAGTTTCTCCCCACCCACATCCTATTAAAAGCCTTGCCCATCCACTTCGCTGCTTTACAGTTCTGTACTTGCAGCCAGAGGGTCTACCCTCATTACCCAACACGACCCCGGCAGGAATAAAATAGTGTGCAGCTATCCCATAGCAGAGATGCCTGAGAGGCAGACTCTTAAATCAAAGAGACGTGTCATGTTGGCCCACCCTCCTTATCCAAAAGTCAATCTAAGGGGAAGGGTATTTTGGAGACATCCTTCTCCTCCCTCTCCAGTTACGCTTCCCATCTGAGGAATGCCTGATGAGCTTCCTGACAAGATGTGGGCAATCATCGCCTCCAACCATTCATTTCCCTCTCATTCCTTCAGCAGAGGAATGTGAGGCTTCATTTGCAAGGCTATCTATAAATGTATCCCAAGGGAAGGGAATCGGAGGAGGTCTTCCTTCTGCTTACAAAGCGGATAATAATAAAGGATTTCTTATGAAAGTTTAAGTTAGGTAGCTTTGATTTTTTATATTTTATTTAAGAAACCAAATTTACAATCTTATTACTACTGCTGCTACAATTGCTTCCACTACTACATCACTGCTAGTTCTAATATATTACTTACTGCTACAATCAAATCCCACCTTTCCTGAAAGGAGCTGAAGGTGGTGTACATGATTCTCTGCCTCTCCCTTTTATTTTCACAACAACCTTGTGAGGTAGTTTAGGCTGAAAGACAATGAATGGCCTTTTGAGAGTTCAGTATCTTATTGCCATGCCCCTTCTCGGGTGAAGATAATTTGGGGGTAGTTTTAATAATATTTTCTCTGGACTACAGGACCTACAATATATGGTATTTTTTATTAAATAATAAAAGTTATAGATATGTAATGTATGTCTGTATAGAAATAAAAATTTTAAAAATCATTAAGCTAATGGAAGTAAAAAAATAATTGTACATTTCGAACATCCCCCTTTTAGTTAGTGATCCATATTAAAGGATTTAACTAAAATGAAAGAGAGAAAATTTGTTAATTAATATACTTTGCTTCAAGAGTCACTGGTAACGGTCATATAATTGTTGAGTGTCTGCTATAAAGGCAAGAGAGCCTACTTCTCTCTGTCTGCCCTTGCAATTCATACAAGAAAATCTGAACATGTTATATAAATTACTTATTATGTAAACACGTCTATTCTACAGTACACCATTCTCATACATTAAATGAGAATGGATGGGGGGCACCTGGTTTAGGATGGGGGACACCTGGCTTGACAGTAGAAAGGATCTTAGGGTCATAGTAAACCACAAGTTTCACATGAGTCAGTAGTGTGATGCAACAGCAAAAAATGCTAATGCAATCCTAGGCTGCATCAACATAAGTATAATATCCAGATCAAGGGAAGTAATAGTAGTACTGTTCTATTGCGCCTTGGTCAGACCCCACCTGGAATACTGTGTCCAGTTCTGGGCACTACAGTTTAAGAAGGATATTGACAAGCTGGAACGTGTGCAGAGGAGAGTGACCAAGAAGATCAAGGGTCTGGAAACCAAGCATTAATTGGAACCATTGAAGGAGTTGGGTATGTTTAGCTTGTTGTTGTTGTTTAGTCATTTAGTCGTGTCCGACTCTTCGTGACCCCATGGACCAGAGCACGCCAGGCACTCCTGTCTTCCACTGCCTCCCACAGTTTGGTCAAACTTATGCTGGTAGCTTCGAGAACACTGTCCAACCATCTCGTCCTCTGTCGTCCTCTTCTCCTTGTGCCCTCAGTCTTTCCCAACATCAGATTGAGGGCACAAGAAGAAGGGAACAACAGAGGATGAGATGGTTGGACAGTGTTCTCAAAGCTACCGGGAACAGCAAACTGTCAGGCGGAATGACAGATACCTGAAGCACTGCCACGTGGAAGATGGAGAGAGCTTGTTTTCTGCTGCTCCAGAGGTAAGGCCCGAACCAATGTATTCAAATTATAAGAAAGGAGATTGTGACTAAACATCAGGAAGAATTTGTTGATGGCAAGAGCCATTCAAGAGCCGAATGGACAATGTCTAGGATCACTCTCCTTCATTTGAGGTTTGTAAACAGAGGTTGGATGTCCATCTGTCTGGGATTTTTAAAGCTTTGATTCCTGCATAGTAGGGGGTTGGACTAGACACTGGTCTTCAAATAGTCGGTTGGGACCCATTAGTGCAGTGGTTCTCAATATTTTTTTCTCTAAGCTACATTTCAGAACAGAAATTTGCTTCCAGCTTAGGTGGACAATGCCAGTCCAGAACATGTGAGCTGGAATATGGAAAGCCTTTGCTACCCAGAGAAATTCTTCAAATTGCAGTGCTTGGGGCTCACTGTGAAGGGCAGCCACCCACAGAGCCGATGGATGATCTCTCCCAAGAGCAGTTTTCACAGAAGCCATTGTGGGCTCACTTTTTCTAGAAACTTTGTGTATATCAATCTTCATTTACTGTCTCATCCATTTTGCCTGACCGTATTCCTTAACGGAATGTACTGACATCCCTAAATATATTCCGTACTTGTAAGTTAGCTTATGCTTTTTCAGGGATGTTCTTAAAGGCGACAGTATTCTATTGTGTTTTTCCATCATGCTAAGGAATTTGTTAAAACTGTTCCCAGCCCCCAATAAATAAAACATGCAAAAGGAGATAGGACAGGACCTAACACACATTTCTGAAATTTCCCTATGCCTTTTAAATCAATGTCTTTAATAGGATTTAGGATGTACAGTTTACATTATTGGGGAATGCTCAAATGGGAACAGAAGGGTCTTGGGTGGTCTGCTGATAACAAGATTACGGTTTGTGCAGCATTGGTGGTATGTGGAAGAAGCAATGAATTCTGCTCCTCAGTGGAAACAGCCTTTGCCTTCTGAAATGAAACGTGCTTGCAACACTGCTTTCCTGAGTAATGTGACATTTCTTCCTTGATAAGGCTTAGACTCACAGAATGGACTCACGTCTACATTCACCCTAAAGTTCCCTAGGAAGAGGGACTGACTGTTAAACCACTCTGGATATTGTCGGGGTCTCCTAAAAACTCTCACCACCCTTAACAAATGACCTTTCCCAAGATCCTTTGGGGGAAAGCCATGACTGTTTAAAGTGGTGTGATGCTTGTACAGTTTGCTCTTGGAATGGCATACAAAAGATGAACAGGTTAAATCTGGTACACTGGGCAAAGGATTTGGGACGTAATATGCAGATGAAGGATTGGGAAAGTTTATGGAAAACAGGTCTGAAATTCACGGCATGTTCTACGCTGAAAGAGAATTATATGAAAATGATGTACTGGTGGTAATTGGCACTGTGGGTTAAACCACAGAGCCTAGGACTTGCTGATCAGAAGGTCGGTGGTTCGAATCCCCGTGACTGGGTGAGCTTCCGTTGCTCGGTCCCTGCTCCTGCCAACCTAGCAGTTCGAAAGCATGTCAAAGTGCAAATAGATAAATAGGTACCACTCCTGCGGGAAGGTAAACGGCGTTTCCGTGCGCTGCTCTGGTTCGCCAGAAGTGGCTTAGTCATGCTGGCCACATGACCCGGAAGCTGTACGCTGGCTCCCTCGGCCAATAAAGCGAGATGAGCGCCGCAACCCCAGAGTCGGCCACGACTGGACCTAATGGTCAGGGGTTTACTTACCTTTACTAAGTTAGCAAAAATGTATAGAACGAGTACAAACATCTGTTGGAAATGTAAAGAAAAAGAAGGTACCTTTTATCATATGTGGTGGTCGTGCAAGGTAATAAAAGCTTTCTGGGAGATGATATATAATGAAATGAAAAAAAAAAGTTTAGAATAACTTTTGTTAAAACAACAGAAGCTTTTCTATTAGGAATTATAGGTACCGATATTCCAAAGGAGCAGAAAAGACTTTTTATGTGTGTGACTACAGCTGCTTGGATGTTACTAGCCCAGAGATGGAAAGAAGAAAGAGTCCCTACCAGAGAGGAATGGCAAGCTAAGCTGATGGACTATGCTGAGATGGCAAAGCTAACTGGAAAACTCAGAAACCAAGAGGACAAAAACTTTTAAAAAGAATGGGGGAAATTTATAATTTATTTAAAAGACCACGGCAAGCAGATGAAAACATTAGCAGGATCTTAATCTCACTTGTAATGGAACAAATACTATGGATAATATGGATGGATACAAAATATAGATTATGGAATAATATGTAGTTGTAAATGTTGACAATAGGACCCACAGAGGAGGTGGGGAGAAGTTGCGAGATTCAGAGTAATCTCTATACAGTATATGGATTTGGCATTTGGATTGTTATAAATTTATATTTGTAAAATCAAATAAAAATGTTTTTTTAAAAAATAAATGAAGTGGCATGATACTGCTTTAAAGGCACTGTGCAGATGGAACCAAGAACTAAGAAGAAAGAGTAAGGGACAAAAGGTTGCTTATAAATGATTTAGTACCTTGGAACTGGCGGAAATGACTGGTAGAATCCGTGACCAGGGAGAAGAGTCGGTGGAAGAAGATTGGAAGAAATTTAAAGATTACCTACAGAAACATTGCAAAATTAAAGAATGTTAGAGTGATGATGGATTGAAATTAAGTGGTTTCTAGCTGCACAGGCTTTAAAGTTATATATAGATTAAGATTAAGGATTAGGAATAAAAAGGTTAAAAGAACGGAAAATTGGCTATTAATAGATAAAAATTTAATGTTATATTATATTAAGATTAAGGATTGGGATTAAAAAAGAGGGAAAGGAATTGCTGGACAAACAAACTGAATTGGAATACAAAAGAGGGAGGTATGAGGAGGTCCAGAAAATAAGTAAATTCAAAAGTAGTGATGAAAAGATGGAATTGTTTTTAAATGTTTTTTCTTTTTTTTCTTTTTGTATTTTGTATTGTGTATTTTTCTTTTTACTTTTAAATTCTTTTTTATTGATGTGTCTCTTTTTATCTGAAACTTTAATAAATATCATTTAAATATATATATATATAAATGATTTAGTACCTGGAACCAGTTGGCTGTCAGGCTCTTGTGAACTGCAGTTCAAGGGGGTTTGCTAACTCTTGCCAGGCTGCTTTCAGCAGGGATCTACTATGTAGTTCATCTGCCCATGAGGGACTCGGATGTGCAGTCAGCCAGGCAGACTTCAACTCATCCTCCATCAACCATGCTATCTCTGCAGGGACCCCCAAATTCCTACATAAGACACCAGGTGTGGGTGGTTTAGGGAATACAGTCTGGTGGGCCAAAATGGCGCCTGTGTGCCAGGCCAAAGTCCCCGCCCCCTGCCCTGCCCTAGTGCAAATCCGTCTTAAAGAGCAACAAGGAAAGACTTTGCCTTTTGGAAAGTGGCATCGAAAAGTGTGGGTGAACAAATGACTAATAGGAAGATATGTAAACACCCTGCAAGCACACCAGGATGAATGTAGGATAAATTCAAATCAAATGCTCAGTTAAGGCTGAACATAGTCTAACCTCTGCATCTGCTTTGTGTGATGAAATCATGACAAATAGGTCATAGGTCTGTAGGGTTTCTGCCAGCAAGTAAAAACAATCCCATTCTCCCAGATATTTGGAGTAAATTAGCAACCTTTTTAAAAATTATTCTCAAGCTGCTGCTCTGCTATTGCTTATTTTTATTAATTGGATTGTTTTTAATAAAGGTTGCATTTTATGTATTTTGTGCATTGTTGGGCAATGCGCTGCGATCATGCTGATGTGAAGAAGGGTACTCTGAAAGTTGGAGAAATAGGAATAACTAACAAAAACCCCAAAACAAACCCTTCTGTCCAGGTTGAAAGGAATATAGCATATATTTTAGCCTTCTCTGATTAGTCCTGCCATAAATGTTTGATCCATCCTTCCTGTTTTGGAGATTTTGTATATAGGGTGACCAAGAGTGACAATGTGCAAAATTTCAAGTCAGCTGTTCCACAGATTCCCTGCCCCACCGCAAAAGGCCTAAAATCAGGATTGGCACCTTGAATGCATGCGGAAGAGCAGAGATAAGAAAGTTATTTGGATCCGGCAGATGAGCAGTTCCATCAGTTGAGATAAGCAGATCCTTTGCATGAATGATGTCCAGGACCCCAGCTCTCAATCCCCTGTCCCTATGCCTGGTTATAAATATGATGGATGGAATGTAAACCCCATAAAGATTAGCAAAAGCCAGAGAGAATGGAAAAATCCGGGTCCAAACTGGGTGGCTTTTCTGCATTCCTGAGGAACATTGCATCAATCCTGCTTTCTAACAGCTCCAGCTGCTGGACGTAGCTGGAGGGGAGAGTGCTTTTGTGCTTGGGTCCGCTTATGGGTTTCCGACAGGTCTCTGGTTGTACACTGTGAGAACAGGTTGTGTGGCGAGTTCCCGCCTCCCCCACGGAAATAAAGACACGAGACACAAGCATTTAGGTTAATGGGTCAAATTAGGCCACAACTTTATTGATTACAGGAATTCAGCGGTGTTGGTATTGGCTTAGGCATTGGTCCTATCAACTAACCGGCTTCAGCCTGCTTCCTTGAAGACCAGCAAGGGTTAACCACCAGTAGGGGGAGTCCTGCTGATGCACATCAACTAGGAGCTCCCCCGGGGTCACCGCCCAGGGGGCGTGCCGTGGGCCCACACCTCCATAGGCTTAGGACAAGGCCTCGCCCCCCGGAATCCTTTACTGGACTACCCTTCGATTTGGGGGAAGGTGATGGCACTTCCTCCCTGCTCTCATCTGCATAACAATACCCCTACCAATGCCTAACCGCCAAACCAAAGGAGTTGTGACGATTTGCTATGAGGTAGGTGAAAAACCAAATGGCTGGTGCCAATTTGCCAAGTGGAAAAA